TTGCTGAAAAAAAAAAAAAAATAGAAATAAATTTATGGGGAAGAATAGGACAGGAATCCGCTTAAACGATTTTTTTTGTCGCAATATTTCTTTTAAAACATTTTTTTCGAATGTTTGTTGATATATCTTTTACATTCTTTCAGATTACTTATTCCAGAAAAATTATGAAGTTATTTAAATTTAGAATAATTTGGAAATTATTAAAACACTGTTTCTCCTTGCTTTTCCAATTGATTCAAAGAATCGTTTAAACAATTTCCTTCACATAACTTCTGTGATGAAACACTCTTCGTTAAAAATGTTTTTACTTGTTTTTAACGTTTAATTACAAAAGAGCAAATACTACGTGCGATCTATATACAATTTCAGGGGTCCAAAAGATCTGTAGATTCATTTTATGGAGAATCTCAGAATATATGTACAAGAATCTCAACGACAGTAATTTCAATCAAATATAAAATGAAATTTGTATATGACAAAATCTGTACAATAATTAATTAAAACAGTAGATTTTCATTTATTTAGAAATTTTTCATTTTTAAAACTTCTACCATTGTTAACTTCATTTGCAATATAGAATGCTGTGAAATTAATAGTTGAACATTTTTTCGGTCAATTCATTTTTCCAAAATTAATAATAATCGGTACAAAGTTTTTTTAAATTTTACAATTTGGATAACTGATTTATTTTCAAGTCGTTTTTTTAATTAACTCATATCAAAAGAAGAAAACTAATTTTATGGGGTATCGTTTTAAATTATTGTTTCAATAATTTGTTAATACAATCGGTAACAGTTTGATGGAAACTATGAATTATGACTTGTTTACCGTTAATATATAGAAAATTATGTTTATTTACAGTTACAATGATTTAAATTTCATGGGCCCGATTAAAATATAGTTTTTTAAAGAATTTTGAATTTTTATAGTTGGATTTTATAAATTTAAATAAGTGCTATATTCAATTAACTACAACCATTTAAATTTAAATTAATTTCAATCAGATAATTCTACGTAACTCGGCTTCATAATTCGTATTTTTATCAAAACTTATGTAAAGAATCCTAAATTTTAAAGGGCCCCTTAAGATAACTACCAGCCTAATTACTTACAAATTGGATTATTCGTGTTGTTCATAATATTGCCTAACCTACCAATATTATTGGTACTGTCGATGAACGTACCACTTTAAATACTATTTCGTCGCGAATTTTTAAAACGAGGAGGTGAACAAAACGAACAGAAGGCAAAAAAAAAAGAATAAAAAGCCCTCATTTTCATCCTTTCACTCTTATATTAAACTATTCAAAAAATTTTAAAAATTATTAATAAGAATGCGTTAGTATAATTATGAATATGAACTCACACTTCTAATTCGTTTTTTATTCTGACAAATAAACTCCTATTTTTGGAAGACATTATACAATAATCTTTATCAAAGAAAACGTTCGGCAGTATAAGTTGTCTTGTAATATTTTCAGAGAAATTTAAAATGAATTTGTATGTTATAAAAATTGTTCTTTCTTAGACTGAATATGTTGATACTAGCCAGTAGTAAGTTGTTAATATTAAATATATTATTTGACAACAATTTATTGTTTAAAAAATGTGATGCTATTAAAAAGTTCTTAAGGAATTAATATAAGTTATAATTTATTATAAAACAATGCAATCTTTACGATCTTCCTTTTTCGAAGGTTTGTTTAATAGTCCAAAAGTTAATGTTTCTAATACAAAAAATTAAGACAAAAAAGTCTGCACTACATGTATGTTTTTATGATTATTGTTAGTCAAGTGCGACTACAAGAATACATTTTGCAAGATATAAACTTTGTCTCAAGAGTTACAGGATGAAAAAGAGAGTCTTAAGGTTGCACATGCACGCACATTCATTCATCTTAGGCACATTTACATACTCGATATAAAAGCACATCACAATGACCGTGTCGACGATCTTAAAGAGTCTTTCATTTAAAGCAAACCTTCGATAGATATACATATACATACGATAAATTTTCGAAGGTGCGGAGAGCCTAAATTGTGATTATTCGAACGATCATTTGTAATCACAAATTACATTTACTAGTAAATATAGCTTACACTTAAACAGAAATATAACACTTCATCAAGTTTCTTTCACAATATTTCTTCGAATAATCGAACATTTTTTCAAGTTCTGGATTATTAGTATATGGTAATTTTCTTTCTTTCATCTGTTTATATTCAAAGTTGAATAATAAAATAACATCAGTAAATAATTTAGTGATTATTAGGTAAATAAATTTTAACAATTTTCCATTAGTTTATACATAAATTATCGTTATTCTTTCTTCATGCCATTAAAGAAGATTAATAAATCATTAAAAAAAAACATGATATATAATTTTAGATGAAACATAACTTAGAGTATTAGTACCACTACATTAGAATAAATTTGAATGTATAAGAAATAATGTCCGATTAATGGAGAAAATGTAATTCTTTTGATTAATTTATTAAAAATAATTAATCAATCCGAATAATCAACATTTTAGTATAGTTAAACGGGCTCCCTTAAGTGGCCGTTCTTCGGTTTGAAGAAACGAGGAGGATAGCTTTTTTCAGAAAGTTATTCATGTAGCATAACGCTTAGTCCAAAGCCGTGCTATACGATCGTGCTCTTCTCTATTTTGTAGATACTGCGTTGCTATACTTCCAACTAAAGGATCCGCTAAAATATGTAACAACAAATTTATTAAATTTTCTATTTTATGTAATGCATCTATTTACTTAAAAAGATTTAAACATTATTTTATAATTAAAAATAATATTCTTAATATTAGGTCATCCCTTAAATTCGTGCCAAAAGCGAAAAATATTTTAATGAAAATCCAAGGAAATATTATAACGACGACATAATGATCTTACTAAAAGAAAAAAAGAAAAAGTTGTAGTATAAGAAGGCGCTTACGCTTTTGCTATCAAAATTTAAAGGTTCCTTGGTAATATTAATCTAAATTATACAATTCGACACGAACTTACCGGATGACCTAATATAAATATATAGATTGATTTTGTTCCTTTTGTTCTCAATTCAATTTAATTATTAAGTTATAAACTAAATTTTTGCGTTCGTTTTTTATTATACTTCTTGCTATGATTAACAAGCACGTTAAGTATTTTCTAGTAAATTATATGATTTTTATTATTGTTTACAATATTTTCCCATCTATGTACTGGACTCCTCATTCTTTAGTAAAAAAAAATTGTTAATAGATAAATTATTGTACAGAAAATTGCAGATATTTTTCATAAGAAAATTACAAACTTGAGATATAGATAATACAATGTTGTAAATAATGATACGAATCGTGTGATTAGTTAGAAAGTATACAATGTGTATAAAGAAAAAAGAATGCAACAATTTAGTTTAGAACCAAATATAATAGTTATGGATTTTATTGTACCTGGATTGCAGTCTGTTAAAAGAGAACAGATGGACAATAAAACCTTCGAAATAGTAAGGGCAGGCGACCAATTATCCTTTAATATATCCAAACAAATTACACCCTGACTATTGATGTTACAGTGATAGATGCGCGTTCGGAATGTAACCTAAAAACGTTATGTTAACGATTAATTATTTATTGATAATTTCATGCCTTGTGCTTTTTCAATATCACTTGTGAATCAACAGTGACCCACAATGGACTTTTTGTTTGCACCACATATTGGAATGAGTCCTGAAAAATAGGCAGTACGTCACTGTGAAATTACACATGGAGTTTTTAATTAAAATACGATCGCATAAAAAAGAAAAGGAAAAAAATATCATGCGGTATTCTTATATTCTCTTCTTAAGTTAAACTCATTACTGAAGAACATAAAATATTTTAAATATTTAGACTATTTTTCTTGTTTCTATGATTTTTGTTTATAATTTTGTCACCTTTTACTTTTGATAAATTATGATTGCAAATTATATATTAATAAGCAATTATTAAAACTTAAATTCACAATAATATTCATTATTTTCCAATCATGTTTAATAAACGTAAGTAATGAAAATTGTAATTCATTATTTTTAATGATAGTTTGTGCAATATTCCGCTACAAAATAAACAAAACAGAAAAAAAAAAAGGAAAATAGGAAAGATAATATATATAGAACAAAAAACTTTAGCTAAGATCCTATAGTGTAAACAGTATATGGTGTAAACATTATATTATGTCCCATGTAGCAGAGTTGTGTAATACAGTGTATATAAGGTAAAACGATTTATTACAAATTTTATATTGTAACTTCATTTTAAAAAGTATTCTTGTAAAATGTTACTATTATATTCCAATCCTATAACACATCCTAATACAAAGTCTGAGATAATTGATAGTATTTAATTATATTACTACATACCTTTGGAGGTTTAAAAGGATATTCCGGAGAAAAATGTATATCTAAGAAAAATACTCCTCCTTCATAAACTGAACCAGGAGGTCCAAGTATTGTTGATACCCATTCATATAAATTATCTCCTTTAGGTCCTGCACTATAAGATAAATAATAGAATTATATAAGTTAACTAATAGTTTAAAATGGATTTTAGGTGAAAATTAATAATTATACCATTAATTGAAACAACATTTTATATTACAAATAGAAACTAAAAGCATAACCATTGTTTTTGAAAATAAGAAATAAATATTAAAATGAAAAAGAAGAAAAAGGACTAAACCTGCAATTTGGTGGTGGGTCTAATGTGATTTCTGCCAATTCTTTTTGTATCCTGCGACAAGAAGATTAGTTTAAGCTCTTGTTAAGTGTCCATGGCAGAATCTTTTTAATTTTGGATGATGGATGTGCTACCTTTTGGCGGATGTTCCTAAAGCTTTAGACATCTTTGGATTTGGCTTCGCTTCCTTGCTCTCTGGCTTATTGTCTGCCAGTGATGAACCACGCCCCCGGCCAGTTCCACTGGAACCTGCGCCTGATGACATGGTTCTGAAATAATGTAATTATACTATAAAAAACATTTATCTTAAAAATACAAACAAGAAGATACTACTTATTCTTAAAAAGTTAAATTTAAATATTATATTTATCTATATTT